AAGCGCTCAGAGCTGCTGCGCGGCCATAATTCTTCCTGAAGTGCGTCTCCCCTGTTCCAGTCGTGTGAGCTTTCAAATTGGCCGTCTGGTTCAGCTCTGCAAGGGTGACCACGTTGTTCAAGCAAGTGCACGTTTGAGAAGGAAAAAGGGGTACTAGTCACAGCTATGCTAGGACCACAGTGGGGAATGACTGTCCAGGCTAACAGGATGCAGAGTCCCCTAGCTGTCTCTTCTCATCATGAGGAATTGAGTGTGACCTAGCATTTTAATCCACCAAATGAGGAAGCAAAAGTCCGCAGCCCTTCCTGAGGGTACAGCCTCATCACTGCCAACTGGTGTGTCCGCCTCCCTCGGCTCCTTTCCTGTGCTTTGGGTCTAGTCACTGCCTTTCCCCTAAAGGTTTCCATCCTCCTTTGAGTCTTTTGCATCAAATATCAGCAGAGGAATGTCTATTTCAACCACTCTTTCCCCGTCACCACAGGTTTTCCCCTTTAAAAGGGCCCCTCTGGGTGTGCCTTGCACTTGGGCTCGCCCACCAGTGAGCTGACTGTCTGGCTGAGGAGCCTGGTCCTACTGGTGCTGCCCTGACGCCCTGACCACTGGCTTTGGAAAACCCTCTTACATGAATCTGCTTAAAGCTTGGTTCCCACGGCCCGAGGAGCGGCTGAGCCCCCCAGAGGTGCAGATGCAGCTCCCTGAGATCAAAGGGAGAACTTGCTGCAGCTTTACGTCCGCTTTCACCCACCATGAGCAGAAGTGATGGTGAGTGCGTGTGCAGGGGCCAGCAGGCACGCAGCCCAAGAAGAGCACTTCTTGCAGCTTGTTCTGTCGCCTCTGTCAGTGGCAGGGGCTGTGTCTGCTTCGACACACAGTGGCCAGACACATAGTTGGTGTTCAGTGACTATCGGCTGAGTCGTTGAATGGTGGCATTCACGGACCATGCTCGGCCTGAGCGGCTGAGTCAGTGCAGTGGGCCGTGGTCTAGGGCTTCGCAGCAAATTCTGGAACTTTAGAGCGCAGGGAGATCTTAGAAGTCATCAAATCCAGTCCCCTCTCAGTTTCGGATTAGAAACCCAGGTAAGACAACCTGTCCAAACTTTGCTAATGTCAGAGAGCAGCAGGCTCAGGTCTCCTGACAGCTACCACTCTCTCTGCTCCCCTGCCTTTACCACCTGGCCCTGCGACCTCCCCAATTTGCCTGATGTCTCAGAGCTCTGACCCGGATTCTTAACCTCAAAACCAGGTGCAGCTTGGCCTGTAAGCTCAGTGCCCTGGATGACCACACTCCCACATGCCCCCAGCCCAGCAAACACACTCTCTCCTGCTTCTCGGTGTGATTTGTACCTCTGGCACACCACTGTCCTGTCTCTTTCCCTGGCTGTATTCCCAGTGGCTCAAAATGTATCTGCCTTCCTTAAGATTTTACCCAGAATGACATCTTTTTCATCTTTGTTTCTCTAATGCCTCAAATATACCTAACACTCACTGATTATATAAATGAATGACTTGCTGTGTGGCTGTGGGCCAGTGGGTCACCATCTCTGGGCCTCCTCTTGGATCCGTAAAGTAAGTATGATGTTGCTGACCCATCACACAGTGTGGCTGTGCTCTAATGTGTGTGTTATTGCATGTCAGTCTTGGAAATGCAGAGTCCAGCAACTGTGCTGAGAGCATTTCCTGGAGAACTTGAAAGGGGACTTTTCGGTCTGTGACGAAAGGAGCAGAAGACAGCTCTGAGCAGTTCTAAGCTTCCGCATACTTTTCGTATCTGAGCACCCAGCTTGGAGCCCAGCATCAGCTGCGGTGGGGGAGGAAGAAACTTGGTAGAGGTATGAGGGTGAAGGTGTCTGGTAGAGAGGGCCCACATGCTCCTTTGCAGGGCCTGGCCAGGCCACTGGCCCATAGCACCAGCCAGCAGGGAACGGCCTCCCCTTCTCGGTTGGCCTCTGAGCCTGCAGACGGAGCTAGGAGCTAGCTGCTTTTACTGAGAGGTGCTCTTTTCCTGATCTCCACTGGCAGTCAGTTTCTGACTTTCCCACACCCTCTGCCGCTTCCCAAAAGCAATTTAAAAAAAAAAAGAATCTAAACTGTTTGGAATAAGAAAGGAAAAAGCTATCATTATGGGAGCTGCGTGGTAGCTTCTGCTGGCTTCCTAGTCATTTGGAGGCTGCCAGAGAGATGGCTCCACTGTCAGGGCATGGCCTGGGGAGCATGGTGTGGCCTCCTCGTCCCATGTCACCAGCTCTACTTGCAGTCACTCAGCACCTGCTGTAGCCAGGCCCACAGATGGACAAACGTGGTCTCAGCTAGACAGGCCCTCAGGCCTGGAGGCATGGCTAATGACACTAGTGCCGTGACAGACAGAGGTGTGGACGCAGCACCCTGGACACAGAGCAGGACGGAAGGAGGAGGCAGCAAAGCAACATCTGACTCAGTGGGCTGCACTCACTAGGGCCTGGCAGGGAGAACACAGCCCCACAGGCTCTGATCCAGATTAGAACCCATCCCCTCCCAGGGCTTGTGCAGCCCACATTCACTTAGACCACAGGGGCTGCATGCAGAAGGCCTGCCAGGTTTCGCAAACAAAATTCAGGGTGCTCAGTTACACGTGAACTTCTGATAAACAACACGTTAATGTTTTAGTGTAAGTATGTCCTAAATATTACATGACATGCTCTTTTAATATAAAGTTTAGCACACATTTGTACTAAAAAATGATTCATTGTTGATCTGACATTCACATTTAACTGGGCATCCTGTATTTTATCTGGCTACTCTTTTCTGAGGTCAACAAAGAGTTCCGGACCATAAACCAAAAAGTCCACTCTACCCGACAGTGGGTCATGTGGAATGGATCACATTTGCGGGAGATCAGAAAAACCAGAAACAAGAAAAGGAAGAATGGCTGTCCTGTGTCACGCGGATAGAAGAAGAGAGGGTTCTAAGTCCTAAGGGCATCAACATTATAGGTACTTCTTAGGCTTGTTTTATAATAGCAGCATCCAAGGGGAAAGTGACAGAGATGGTCCCAAGCCTGGTCTGCCCAGAGGCCCGTGGCTTGACCAAAGAAGGAGAAGGAAGCACAGTAACCACCGTTTGGACCCGCGTCCCATGTCATCAATTCCCAGCCCTCTTGCTCCTGCTGGTTCCGCCATGCTTTACTTGGATGCCCACACTAGCTCTACCCAAATTCGTGCTATGTGGCTTACATTGTTAATTTTCACTTAGTTCAAGTTTAATTTTATTTAAGAATGGTTTACAGAGAGAACTCTCAGACATCCAAAGAATAAGATTAAGAATCTCTGCACTGGAAACTAGAAAGTTCTAGAAGAACACTGAAGGAGAGGCAGGAATGAGGGCGGAGACAGGAGGGCAAAAAAATCTCAACCACCAGGGTCCCTTTCTGGAGGAAGTGACTGAGTGGAGTCTGGGAGAAGAGAAGGGCCTGAAAACCAGCCCAGGCTGGAGCAGTCTGCGGAGAGGCGCGGCCCCGGCCAAACCCCGGCCCTGAAGGCACATCTGCCTTCCTCAGGAGGAAGGAGGAACAGTCCACTGTCCCTCGCAGCCGTGCTCAGGCTGTGAGCATCTCTAGCAGGTTTCCTCTTATGTAAGTGATAATTAACAATGCACTGGGCCCACACGGTTTGTAAACCAGGCCTGATACTTTAAACCCTTTCTGTTCACAGAGCGTTTTGTGCTTTCCCTTTGTTCCCCTCTCCAATTTCCCACTTCAGGAGCCGAGATCTGAAGACCTGCACGTGGTCAGCGGGGAAGTGCCTCTGCAGCAGCTCTGAGAGGCCGCCCCTTGCTCCCGCACAGCTCTGGTTTCATCTTGGATATCAATTATGGGCTTTCACATTAGGAGGCTAATGCATTTTCAAAGCGGGCAGATCACCCTCCCATGTTTTGACAGTTTGGCTTTAGTTGAAGTATAATTAAACTTTTCGAAAACAAGGGCTTTGAAACTCAATCTCCACACTGTTTACACGTTGTTGTTTTTTTTCCTGAAGGGTTGCGTTTTTACTTGCTGCAGCACAATTAATTCGTCCTTCACTTTCCACACTCAAAACAAACACGGGTTTTGAGCACTGCGCTTTTATAGCGCTGCATAGCTGAACGTGGAAAAAACAACATCTGAAACAGGATGGGCTTCTGATGGTGCCTCCTGTGACAGACACACTTGAAAACCACCACTCGTAAATCACTTGCACTGTGCACACCCCTCAGAGGAGCAGGAAGTGTGGGCATTTTAAACCCTGAGGCCAAGAGCCGTTTTCAGATGCGGCTTAAGGCGCTGGGCTGGCACCCGGCACCCTCCCTGGGAGCGAGCTCCGTGGCCTTGCTGAGCGCGGCCCAGCCTCTGCCAGCCTGTTTGTTTGTTCTCCTTGCCCCGCTTTTGCTTTTATGCAAGCAAGCTGAGTCTAAAAAGCACAGAGCTAGCGAATTTATAAAACCAACACAAACTTAGAAAAAAAAATCAGCCGCAACAATCTGAGCCGGGTGGTTGGCGGGCGGTGGGGGCAAGCAGATGGCACAACAAGCTGTCCTCGGTGACTCGTGGGGACCCAGCCCTAAGGCTCTGCGGCCAAAGGGAAAGAAAGAAGACAGCCCCAGCCAAGCGCTTCCACCTCTAACCCAGGTCGTTACTGTGGGTGACGTCCTTGATGCTGTGCTCACTATCTCCAAAGAACACAGAGGGGGGAAAACAAAAGACACGGAACTGAACTGACTTTAGATGAAAGATTAAAAAGAAAAAGAAAAAAAAAAAAAGGACTTGAGGGAAGTGAGCCAGATGTTGCCATGAGAGAAGTTATAAATCCTGACCTTGTTTGGTAAAGGAAGGGGGCCCGGGAGGGAGGGCGGGTTCTCAGCGCCCAGAGTGCCTGACCATGGTCAGCCCCCAGACAGAGGCTCCCTCTGTGTGGAAGGCAAGCTTTCCAAAACACCAGCCTCTGATGTCACCAGCAGGTGAAGTGGAGGGCAGTGGAGGCATGCAAAGATCCATTTTGCACTAATGGTTTTATTAGTATTGACAGTTTTCTTACAGAGATGGAGTCTTTGGGGCAAGGGAAGCCCAGCCTTAAACATTTGTAGTTCAATAACATGATAAGACCCCTCAGCTGGTTGGGAGCAGTGTAAGCCGTGGAAGCCTCCCAAATATTTCACAGCACTTCTATGGTCACAGGTGCCAGATAAAAAATTCATCGTTGGAAGAAAATCCTAGATTCTTACTAAGCAGCTCCAGAAGAGATCCAATGGCGAGTAGCATCACATATTCTTGGAGGGTTTATCGAGACATGCGCACTCCACAGAATGGTATGGTGTGTGGATATGGGGGTGTTGCAAGCACCGCACGGGCAGTTCTAAGCACCTTGGATTAGTCACAGAGGCAGCACACAGACACACGGGGATAACTCTGTGTATGAGACTCCTACTGCCGTTGTAACAAATGACCCCAAACTTAGCGAGCCCCACTGGGTGAGAACCGAGGGACAGCCGGGCTGGGTTCCTTCTGTAAGCTCCAGGGGGGCATCTGTGTCTTGCGCTTCCAGGGGTCAGCGGCCGCCTGCACTCCTTGGCTCCTGGCCTCCACCAAAGCCGCCTCTCTCAGTGCCTTTCTCCTGCCCTCATCGTCCACTTTTTAAGGGCTCGTGTGATTACACTGGGTCCAGTTGGAGCACCCAGGAGAATCTTCCTATCTTAAAGCCAGCTGACTAGCAGCCTTAATTCCTTCTGCAACCTTCAGTGCCCAATGCCATGTAACCTGGGAGGAGGATGTGGGCATCTCTGAGGGCCACTATTCCACGAGGGTCTGCGCTCTCCTTTGTCTGAGTCTCACCGAGCATGAAACACTTTCTCATTTATAATAAGGCAATTGACGTAATACACGTGTACCATCTGCCCGGCATTATTCTAAGCACCTCATGTGTATTTAATCTTTGTTACAGTTCCATGAAGTAGGAACTGTAACAAGTATAACTATTACTTGCTCCGTTATACGCATGAGGAAGAGTACAGAGGTTGCTCGTGGCTGGTGAGGGGCAGAGGCCAGGTTAGCACGCAGCCTCTGTTCCAGGGTCCAGGTTCCTTACTCTGAATGGGTAAGCACAGGGGCACTGCCTTCTAAATACCAAGACAAGAAGCCTTCCTGGCCCTTGTTCCCTATAAGCCCTCCTATGGAGAGAGAGGGCTCCCTCTGTTATGTTTAAGGCCCTGCACAGCACAGGGGGTTGTTATAAAGCTCTGCTCATCCAAGTCCGGACCATGTGAAGTTGAGTTTCCAGTTAAGAGTTTGCAAGAGCCAGAAACACATACAGCCTTACGTGCTCGGCTTAGACCGTGACGGTAGAGAGAGTACGAGTCCAGTGATGGCTGACACGTGGAATCATCCTGCTGCTGTTTTCCATGAGTGGAGAGGACCTTCTACAGAGGAGGAGAAACAATGTCATAAATTGGAGTGTGGCCCCACACTTCAGGGGACCCTGAATCATCAGATTGAAGGGGAGAGAGTAAACTCCCCCAAGGGGAAGTTGGCTCTTGTTGGTGTCCCCAACAGCAGCCCAGCCCTGTGGCAAGAAGCAAGGCTGGCCTCTGCAGATGGGACCACCCGCCCACCTGTGGGCTGCTTGACTTTCCCGTAATAACAGAGGGGAGGCAGGGCTGGAACCCCAGATTGGGGGTGGCCTCCTGGAGCCCTTGACTGTCTTAGAACCCATTGCCTCCTTGGTCCCAGATGCAATGGCCGGGAGCCAGGTGGCGACATCAGCTCTAAGACAGGGAGAGAAAGAGATGAGTCGAAGCTCCTCAGAGCCCAGGGAAGTAGGACTGAACCTCAACCGCCAAGTTCCGCAAATTTCACAAGTTTATCACAAACCCCACAAGTGTTGTTTGGTTGCTTAAAAACGATTTAATTTTTGCAATCTCCCAGAGAGACAGTGCCCCAAACTAAAACTGATGTTTGAAAAACAGCGGGACGAATGATGGTTCTTCTCCAAAGAGGGGAGCCAGCAGGAGCGAGAAGCACCCTGGTGCCAAAGCTGTAGGAAGCCCTCAGCTCCAATTCCGAGTAACAAGGTGCCTGTCCCATGATGGAGCCAGTGCTCTCATCATGGAACTAGAATAGTCACCTCCTTGCGCTTCACCCAGAAATCTGTCTGATTCTTGACAGAACTCTTCCCACCATGAGAAGGGGCCTCCTGTCATGGGGGAGAAAGGGGACGGACGAGCTGTGGCATCAGACAGACCCGGGTTTGTCACAGCTCAGCCACTTACTTGCTTTGTACCTCTGACAAGGTACTTAGCTGAGCCTCCGTTCCCTCAACTCAAAGCGAAGGTAAACGGTGCTGACCTTATGTCATGGGGATGCTGAGATGAGATGATTAGGCTGTTAGGAACATGACAGTACGACAGCTGGGGCTCTGTGGGACCTCGAGAGTGGTTGCTACCATCACTTTTACTGTTCATATCATTACTGGCAGCATTCATATCATCAAGATGGCTTTCTTAATAAGAGGTCATCTACAGCCAGGACCCTGTTGGCCGCTCACACTCCTCATACAATTCTGGTGAGTCCAGAGGACGAGGGCCTGGCTGCAGGAGCGTTAGGCGGGAGAGCTCTGCTTAGGTCTAGGAGTGGGGCACGGCATGGCCTTGGGGTCAGCATGGCTGCCCCTCGGCACACAGGTTTCACAGATGGCCCAGCTGCACCAGCAGCATCTATGTCTCCAGGAGCCCTCTCGTGTGCCCTTCACACCACTGGGGAAGCAGCACGCAGACCAGCAGGGAGGCCACCTCCACAGCTGGGCCTGGAGTGCCCAGAGGAGAGGCGCCCGCCTCATGGTGAGAAGGTCAGCACTCGCACACTGTGACTTGCTGAGAGGCAGGCTGTCGCCACTGCTGCCACAGGCACCCTGGGGGGCATGGCCAGAGGTGGTCCTTTCCAACTTACAGCACAGAACCTGGCCTCACATTTTATAGCTTAACACCAACTGGCTGTGTTGACTGAGTTGCTTTTGACATATTTCAATTGCTTTGCCGCCTAACGTCATTCAGATCACCTGTGTTTCCCTAGCGCCGGCCAAGCACACATGAGGTTTGGTTGTTTTCATGAGGACAGCCCACCCTGGCCTGTAGTAACCACAGCTGGCTACGCAGCGGGCTCTGGATGGGTTTGGCAGCAGTGGCGGTGCACTGTGGCTAGGAGGGTAGGGAAGCCAGCAAGCTCTGGGTCTCCCATGGGAAACCAAGTCACTTACCACCTGGGGTGCTTGACACACCGACCTTTCACCCAGGCAGTAGACAGGACATCCAAAGGGAACCATGATGGGTCTGCAATAAATAACAAGTGACAGTGCCCACTCCTGAGAGCAATTGTACACAGCGTGGAGTTCTTGGCAACCTGTTTGTTTGTTAAATGCCTCTCTTCAAGGCACAGTTAAGAATCTATATTCACCCCTGTAGTGGACAAACTTGGGCACGTGCTCAGTTCCAGAAAGGGAGAAAGGCACAGTGCACACACCACAGGCACATCAGCCTTACTGACTCTTCAGCGTGTGACAATCTCAAATGTCGCAGTCAGTTGTGCAAAGTGGAGAGAAAAACAAAGCAACTCGAGCAAATAGCAACAATAGTACAAATGGTGCTGGGCACTGTTTGAAAAGCTTTGTGTGTCTTTACTCACTTAATCCTTACAAAAACCCTACAAGGTGGCTACTATCCTTATCACCCACTTTTCAATGAGGGAACCGAGGCAGGTTAAACAACACGCCCAAGGTTACAAAGCCCATAAGGGATGCTCTTGGGGTTTGAACACTTAGTCTGACTTCTGACTGCGGGGTCTGTGTATTTCGTCTTGACACTAAGTTGGATAAATACGGGGCATCTTGCAATGCAGAGAAGAGGACTCTAAAGATGTCCAACCTCTGCCTTAGCCGAGAGGAAAGGGATGGCTATAAGCAGCACGGGTGGATGAGGGCGGGCAGGTTTATAAGCTGGCTGTCCTCCCAGAAAATGCCCTCTTCTCTCCAAAGTCCGAGAGGACCTGGTCAGACTTTCTTTCTTCACCAAAATAAACCTCACAAGTGCTGGAAGAATACAGCCACCCCCTCCCGTTCCCCCAAGGACTATCTCCAACCCCATTGTGCAAGTGCCTGCTGTTACAGTGAGTTGTGGAAGCCACTTTCGTGGTCATGGTTTTCAACTGCAAATACAAGAGGAAACCACGTGAAGAAGAAGCACGTCTTACCAACCCCACATTCAAGGGTGTAGGAGCCCCTGGTGCAGATGAGTCTTTGCAAGAACTGGAAGGCTGGGGCAGGGGTGGGGCTGCTCTGTGAAGGATGAAGGGTGGTCAGGGCTGAGCCGGCTCTGAGACAACCCCAGCGGGGGAGGCCTGGCAAGGAGCAAGGAAGGGAGGCAAGCGCTGAGGAAGCTTCTGCTCCGGAAGCTGAGCCTTCCTCTGAAGAGCAGGGCGCTTCCTGGGAGCCACCTGTCACCCTGCACTTCTGGGGAGCAGGTTCCATTAGGGGAAAGTTCTCAAGAAAACAAAGGTCTTCTCAGTAGGAATCTAAAGGGACAGGCATCCTGGTTGGGAAGAACATGGCCTCTGGAACCAAACAAATCTTGATTTAGTGTGAATTACAGGCTGTCTGTGTAGACAGGACTTGGACAGCAATCTCATTGAAGGGGCGGTGGCAGGAGAACACATGGGGAAGTGTCACTGTGTCCCCTACATGCTCTTCTTACTTAGGTTGTGCATTTGTTTGGGGGGGGTTGTGGAGAAGGGACTGCTGGAGATGATACAGTTGTCTTGATTCAAACTCGGGAACTACAGCTTCCCATCTGTGTGACCTTGGGCAAGTAACTCAGCCTCTCTGAGCTTCTGTTTTCTCGTTCGTAAAACAGGAATAATAATTCCACTCTGGCAGGGTTGGTGTATGTTTTGGGTGGGTGAGTGGGAGTCGGTTATGCGAGAAAACGGATGGGAAAGGGCTTAGCACCGTGCACGCACACAAGAGGCACTCAATGTAAGCCAGTTCCTTCCATTGCTGGTTCCCAGATGTCTTAGGACCCTAATGAAGGATCCAGATGGGGACTCAGACCTGGAAAGTTTTAAAAAAAAAAAGTTGGATTTTGTGGGGGTTTGCCTTTGGATTTTGTTGCCCACCAAGTGTGTTGCAAGAAGATGCCACATCTGCCCTCCACATTGTCAACCCGGGACTCCCAGCAGCTGGTCCACTTGAAAGGGTGTATCACAGGCCGGACTGCAGAGGCAGCGCCAGTCCTGTGGGTGAAAAAGTCGCCATAGCAAATGAATTAGACCAGCGGTTTTCCTCATGTCTGCAGGCAGCAGAATCTCCCTACAGCGCGTTTCCACAACTCACTGTAATAGGCACTTGCACAATGGGGTTGGGGACAGTGCTGGGGGAACAGGCGGGGGTGGCTGTGTTCTTCCAGCACTTGTGAGATTCAAATGGAATCTAACTGGGGGCTGGGCAAGTCACAGGTTGACGGAAGGGTACATCGTACGTAAGCACGAAGGACCAAATTCTTTGCAGAGAACCTCCAGAGGCTCCTGGCGGAAGTTGTGGGGGTGGCAGGAAACTACTGCATTTGCTAATGGCCAACACATGGAGCTCACTCATTCATTCATTCCATCATTCATTCAGGAAGCATTTACAGAAGGGAGCCCACAGCTTTCTCAGAGATGTTAGGATAATACACGATATGGTCCCAGTCCCTGAACTTTTATGACTTGTCCCAAGTAACAATGCCAGCCCAGTTGGGAATAGAAAGTTGCAAAATTATCTGCCTCAATAATTTTGCAGGCCAGTGGAGGACAGAGCCACACACCTGGTCTCTTGGAAGGAGCCAGCCACTCCCCTGAGAATCCAGGGGCCTGCCTTCTGGTCTACCACACCCTTGGTGGGGTGCAGTGTCAGCCCAGTGTCTGACTCACAGAGACCTTAGTGAATGAATTTCAGGATGTCCTCTTTACTGCCTTACCAATTAGAGCTTCCATGGATTAGATGCAAGAAGAATAAGCCATTTTAACGAAATTGCTTTTGAAACACAGATGAGTTCAAAATCTAGAAGAAAGGGTACTTGGCAAGAAATGTTTGCGTTTTGGCAGATTCTGCAGCTCATGTTGTTTGATGCTTCCATAAACCAGCTGCTTCCGCCCTTCCCTAAACATCAGCTCCCAAGGGACCAAGTCAGCTCAGGGCTTTCCGGGCAACCTCCTCTGGAGGGCCCATCCAATCAGCACCCAACACGCAGACTCCAAGGGAGTAGAGCACCCATCCACATGTTTGCTTCTCTTCTTTCCATGGTTTCCCTAACAACAGACCACACACACACATACATACACACACACACACACACACACACACACAGAGTGTTAGTTCAACTAAGCATGTTTCTCAGCAGATCCACACAATAGATTCCTCACCTGGGAGCTGAGAGATCTCCTCACCTGGGATTTCAGAAGCCCCTGCCTTGCGGGACCACTGGAGACTGTGGCACAAGCAGCCAGTCCTACAGACCCTCCGTCTTCTCTCATCATTCTCTCCATGCACACGATCCTTGGCTTAAGGTGCCCAGAGAACCCCATGCCAAAAAGATACCTGCTTTCCTCTTCTCTGATTCCAGGGTTCCTTACAACACCCCACCCCTCCCCCCGGTTCATAACCAGCTCACAGGAAAACACAGCCAAAACTCTACCTTTGACTGGCTGTCACCCAGCAGCCAGGTGAGTCAACCCACTGGGATTTTTATTTCATTAGTCAAATGGGTTCTGGGTAAAAGTTTGTTAAGCTCAGCGGGACCTAGCCCAGGCCTCGAAGGCAGGTGCCTGCAAGTGGCTGCAGGGCCCCTTCTGGAGGTCTGCATTCCGAATGAGAAAAGCACGGCTCTCCTTCGCAGTCTGCAGCCCCATGCTGTGTGGTCTTAGAGCCCCTGATCAGTGAGGATGCCCCACACCAAAACTTGGGCTTATGCCTATGGACCCAAATGGATGGGCTTTCATTATGGTGAAAAATGTATAAAGTTTAGTGGGTGTTTAGGGTTCGTTTTTGTTTGGGGAATATTAATAGGGTTTAATACAGTTGTCCTGTGGGCTTAAAATAGAAAAACACCTAGCATAGTTCTTGGTACCTAGTAGAAACTCAATATGCGACAGCTATTGGTTTTTCCCCCTCTGCATAGCCAACGGTCCAGCCCTTCCCAGTGGGGCCTGACCCCTCCAGAGCCTGCTGCATTTCTCAGAGAAAGCTGCCCTTCCCCCAACTCAGGTGGCTTGGCAGTGCTGGGTGAGCTCCCCCCCTCCCCCCCCCACCTGTAACTGGGTCAGGTCTTACTTACACGTCTTGTACTCAGGAAGAAATCAAATGGGAATGTTAACTGAGGACCGGGCCACTCAAAACTATTGCTCTTTTCTGGCGTGTAAGACAATCCAGACTCACCGCAGGGTTCCCATGTCACCGAGAGTTCCCAGCTCTCTGTGGCTTGCTCGCATTCATTCCAGACAAAGCAGAATGAGCCGCAGCTCAGATTTCCAATCACATGGCTGCAGCGCCAGGCCCAGTGCAGCCCTGGGCACTTCTGTGGTGCGCTCCATCTGAGGAGCTCAAAGGGCTTAAACAAAACCCGTTCTTTATTTGGGAAGTATTATTATCTGGGTTTTACAGAGAGAGATACCGAGAGGTGAGGTGACCTGCTTTCCGACCACACAGTAAGAAGGGGTTGGGCTGAGCAGGGGGCCCAGGCAGCCGACTGGAGCTCTTGGCCAGGGGTCACCAACAGAAAGCTGCTTGCACAGAGCCTGTCGGGGCCCTGTGGGGACTCGGGGAGGTGACTGAACTCAGAAACAAAGGCCAATGCAGAGGAAATTGAAAAGCACCAGTGGAGGAAAGGTGTACAGAGAGCTGGCTCATCAAGACGCTAGGACTTTGGTTAGCAGACATTTCTTTAACACCTACCAGTGCCCAGTACATGCCTCATGGATTGACCCCAAGATAATGTTTTGTCATCCCTGGTCCCATATGACAACATCATTTTTAGTAATCATCATAAATGCAACAACAATAATGAGGGGTGGAAAAGAAAAGCAGAGAGTAAAATTTCTGTTTCTGACCTTTCTGTAGATGTTATGGCTGTCAAAAAATAAAAAAATACAATAAATATTATAGTACCAAAAAAATGTAATGGATTAGTACTTTTAATTCCATTAACTACATTTTAATTAATGTATTTTTGAAATGAAGAAAACATATTTACATATTGGTCTTTTGTAATAATGAATAATAACATTATAGCTTCTGTTTAACTTCTTTAATTTGTCCTTGACTTCGTAAAATTGATCTCTATATTTTCATGCTCAATAGATAGTATAGCCAGATTTGTCCATCTACCTTTGCTCCTAGTTAATCAAAGAACACTGTTGATTAATTTTAACTTTGAAAAATGTGTCTCACATAAAGCAAAAGATATATAGTTATGAAAAATTGTAAACAACAGACTATGACAAAAGTTCATAAAAATCCAATTTCACAATAAATTCTAGAAATTGAACCAAAAAAAAAGAAAGAAAGAAAAGAAATTTCAATACCGCCCATGTCTTTGTTTCTCCAGGATCCATTCTGTTGTCTTTCAAATGTCTCCATAGTTGAAAAATTTTAAACACAAATAAAAACTCTAAGTGGTTACATAGATTGACAGAATTGAAGTAACTCATATTTCATATAAAGACACACACAGAGAAGGACAATAACATAGTAAAATATATAAAAATAAAGAATTCAGAGCTAAGGAAAAGAGAAAGAAGAGGGAGAAATCCATCCAGGGAGGAAAAGTCACGTTCAGTCTCTACACCCTGACGTAGTTGATAGAGTTGAACTGGAAGTTTAGCTCTATACTCTGGCAGCCAAGGGAGAAGGGGAGACGCCTTGGCATTCACATCGAGAGCCTTAAGAACAGCTCCTTGTGGATGCCTGCAGAGCATTCCACTCAGGGGACAGCCAAGTTCACCAAGGGACAGTTTGATTCTGCTTTTGTTTACCCCACATGCTGGTTTCAGACTAAGAAAGGGTGAACTTGGGGAAGAAGTAGCAGAGGTCCCAGAGTGGCTGTGAAAACCATCAGAAAGTATGTGACCCAAAAAGATTAATTTCATTAAGAAATTTAAAAATTCGTGTTTAACACATTTTAAAACTGAGGGTAGATACATGGCAATGCTTAATCCGAAAGACTAGATCAAGAAAATGAGGAAGATAAAGGAGGGAGCTGGGCGGCCACGATGGGTTACCAATTCCTTTTGAACTCACATTTGGTCCCCACCACTCCCTCCTACAGCACCACCTGCCACCAGGCGGCCTTGGGTCTGGATCTGGGCATGCACGGACCTGTGCCCAAATCCTGGCTCCAGGGCACTTCCCTAGTGGTGAGGGCTGACTGGCTCATCGCATACTGCCTTCTTGCCAAGAACACTGGATAATGTGGACAAGATTTTTTTTTTTTTAAATCAAAGTTAAAGGCATCAGAAAACTACCAATGCAGGAAGAAATCAAGGAGGTAGGATCCCAAAAATGAGGTCCGAGCAGAGGGGTGGGTTTCAGCCTCTCTTCTCCTTGGCACCTGCGGCTTCCCAGGCAGCAGCTGAGGCGCTGGCATCTGGGACGTTGAATGGAGCTTCCAAGAGTCTTATGGGGCTGGGGTGACAGAAAAGGAATGCAGGGTCCAGCAAAGAGAAGGAGCCACGTTAAATACCCCAGGTGTTCATTTGGGACTCACGCTAGAGGTGGGGTCCAGAAAGAGACCAGTCTGCCGAAAGCCTGAGCCATTTTTCAAGAGCTCAGTCCTTGATTGGATTAATGTAAAGTAATATGAAGTAATACGTTTCTAAACAACCCATGAGTCAAGTAAAAACCACAGTGGAAATTAGAAAATATTTTAATGAAAAGGTAATAAAACCAAAACATATAAAAACTTATGGGATACAATGAAAGCATCCTTAAAAGAAATGTATAGCCTTAAATATGTCATCAGAAAAGAAGAAAGGATGAAGAAACAATGAACCATGTTTCCATCTTAAGTTTTTAGAAAAAAAAACCCCAGCAAATTAAACCCTAAGATAATACAGAGATGAAAATAATAAACAGCAGGAATTAATGAAGTAGAAAATAATAATATAACAAAGAAAACTAATAAAGCCAAATTTTGCCTTTTAAAGAGACTAAGAAAATTGATAAGCTCCTGACATGAGTGATGTCTTTTCAAAAGGTTGAGACACAAATAATCAATATCAGGAATGAAAAACAAGCCATAACAATATAGCCTACAACTATGAAATAAGATAAGCGGCTGTTCTGAACCAATTTATAGTCTTATATCTATTAAATAAATGAAATTCATAATGAAAAGTCTTTCCACAAAGAAACTTCCAGAACCAGATGGCTTCACCAGTGAATTCTTTCAAACACTTTTAAGGATGAAATAGCATTCATCTTCCACAAATTCTTCCAAAGATAAGAAAACAAGTGAACTCTCAACTCATTGTTGGGAGCTATATTACGTTAATATCAAAACCTGGCTGGGAAAGAAAATTCAAGGCCATTTCTTCTCCTGGAACCTCATCCTAAACAAAGTATTTTCAAACTGGATCTAACAATATATAAAAAGGATAATACAACACAACCAACATGGGTTTTATCCCAGGAATGTAAGATTTTCCCAGTGTTCAAAAGCCAATCACTGTAATTTATCACAGTAACAGAATAAAGAAGAAAATGATTGATCAACTCAATAGATTCAGGAGAAAGGCATTTGGTAAAGTTAAACCCCTAGTGATAGCAAAAGGGAAAAACTCTCTTAAAGAATAGAAGGGAAATGCCTTAATATGATGAAGTATCTTTAAAAATACTTCTATTAAATATCATACTTACGTTTAAATATTGATACCTTTCCCCCAATGTTGAGAATAAAAGAAGAATGCTCCCCGTCTCTGCTTCTATTCATTATTATCCTGGAGGTCCTAGCCTTTGCAATAAAGCAAGACAAAAAAATAACATTTTAAAAATTGGAAAGAGAAAAGTACAACTCATATTACTTACAGACTACGTGATTGCATATGTAGAAAATATATAGCAGTTTATAGCAAGACTATCAGAATTAATAAGTGAATCAAGCAAGGCTGTTAGATAAAAATGTCAATATACAAGAATCAATGGTATTTTTATATAACAGAAAGAAAGAGCAGAATCCAAAAAGAAAACACTGATAAAATGGACATTAAAATTTGGACCTTTTTTGATTAAAAAAAAGCAAACAAACTAAGAGTGAGAAAGAAAACCATAGAGAAGAAGATATTTGCCAAAGGTCTCATATCCAAAAATATAAAGAACTCCTACATATCACCAAAAAAGATAGGCGAGCCAATAGAAAAATGGGCAAAAGACCTGAACAGACCAACAGCTAGCCACATCACCAATGACATTTGAAAAAGTGCTGAATTTCATTAGTTATCATGGAAATGTGAACTAAAATACATTCGCCAGAATGGCAAAAATAAAAAAGACCAACAATATCAAGTGATGGGGAGGCTGTGGATCTGCCCAGACTATATATTAGGAGTATGAACTGGTATAGCCGCTTTGCGAAACCACTTAGTGTATCTACTAACCCTGAACGTATGCGTACCCTGTAGCCCAGCAGTTCTATTCCTTGGTACACAGCACACAGGAATGCATACACCATAGACATACGCAAGATTATTTGTGACAGGTCCAAATTAAAACCTACCCAAGTGAACGGCACCAGATGAAGGTATAAATAAATTGTGGTACATTCGTACTGTGAAAATTTCTACAGCATTAAAAATGAGAAAACTGGGCCGGCCGAGTGGCTCAGTTGGTTCAGAGCTCGCTTGGGAGCACCAGCTCTGAGAAGCAGGGCTCCGGTTCGGATCCCACATTGAGGGCCAGTGACGCTGCGCCCTCTACAGCTCAGAAGATGAACAGCAGCTTGACCTGGAGCTGGGCTACTGTAAGTCGCCTGCGATGGGGTAGGCTGCAGTGGGGCTGCAGTGGGGCTGCAGTGGGGCTGCTGTGGGCTGCCGTGGGCTGCAGTGAGCTACGTGAGTGGACGGCAGCCAGCATGAGCGGCTAGCAGCTGGGGAGAGCTGCCCTGAGCCACTGTGAGCGGCTGTCCAGTGACCGGAGACCAATTGCCCTTCCCCGATTCCCCAACACTGTTCCCCTCCCCCAATTCCCCAATAAAATCTTTAAAAAAAAGAGAGAAAACTACTTTCTCTGCTGCTGGTCATATTCTTGCTTTTTATGTAGGTGACTGTCGCACAGATGTGTTCACATTCGTGGTAACCCATGAAGCAGCCCACTCCAACATTCTTCATGTACATTATACCTCAATCGTAAAAAGTGGATTTCCTTGCTAGCTGTGTGACAGCAGCAAGTTACTTAATTACGTTAAGTTTCTGTTCTCATCTGTAAAATGGGTATAATCGTAAGTACCTCAAAGGATTGCTCTGAGATACAAACGAAATAACATACGTGAAAAGGGCCGCACAGGACGGGCTGAGTAAACAGTAGCTGCTCTGTTCTCACTGTCAAGGAT